CTGAGTTCTATGTAGGTTTTCCCGATCCGAATAGTCTCCCTTCACTGTACCCTGCGCCATTTTGAAAGGAACCATGCCTGTGCATCGAAGCGAGAACTCCGGCGACCTTGTAATAATAGAAACCTTTATAACACCTCGGACAGCTTTTCACGTGCCTCTATCATTGCAAGGTRTAAGCCATTCTCGTTTCAATGCACAAGCACGGTTGCAATTCTAGATGGTGCCGGGAACTGTGAAGAGGACTTTAGATRCTTTGTACCATCATGTGACGGCAGCCACTATGTTAGATGGCAAGAAGAATACAAGCATTCAACTCCCGAAAGCAAAGGAATTTTTTTGTTCTTCTATCTACCTACAGGCTGCAGTCTAAGCGTATTATGGTCGCCGGCACGCGATGGCGCATAACCTATATTGGATTGGTAKGTTATGAAACACAGCGCGCACCAATTTCCCCTCTCCAATTTTAGGGCAACAAAGGTCTAAAACCACCACATATACCGAATGAGAAAATTTAAAGGCACCTATTTCTTGCCCATTCACCGTCACATGAATAATTATATCATACCTTCTCTTTTTCGCTTGAAGTCTCGGACTCGCTCCTTCACGGCCGAACGAAACAACCTTGCCTCTTCTTCGTCACAGAAATTCAGCCCTGCTCTGCAATCCTGGAYGGATTTGTAAAACAACGTGAGTATTATTACGAACATTCTTTGTGCCCCAATCCATATAAGGTGTTTTTTTTTTTCAATTGGAAAATACATTTGATATTAAAATGTAAGTTGTAAAATACGTGCGCAAGCAATTGCCAATATTTCTAATCCAGCGGTTTACCAACCTATAGCACAGGTAGACCAACTTACGTGAGCATTAAACGTGTGGAACGTGGCGGTGAMAGCCCTATACTTGAACTGTCGATAGAGCTCTTGTTCCCAAATAATACTTTTATTCTGTAAGGAAAAAGAAAAGATGTAAAAATAATAATAATTAACTCGTAAAGGCACTTTGAAAACTGGCGTTAATTCCCTCTCTCCTCTTCTCTCCTCCTCAAGTCCCCCCCCCCCCCCCCCCCCCCCCCCCCCCCCCCCCAAACCCACAAGGAACGCCTGGCTACGCAGGCTATAAAAACTTGGCTTCATCTATGCGCAGGAATGCTTCTTTCATTTGCAATCTTCAAATAGATTTTTTTTACATTCCGAATC